TATATATATATTAGATATAGATATAGATATACACATGTATAATTATATCTTGGCTCCATTCAATCGAAGGATTAGCCTACGTGCATGGTTCGTCCAGCATTATATGCATATAGCGCACCGACTCTGCTAGTACTAAACAAGATACTCGTACTATCGGGTCGGTGGCCGAGCGGGCATGTATCATAGTCACTAGACATATTATGGTTACAGTAGCTCAGAACTCCCCGATGGAATTTCCGACGGGCCCAGAACTCATCATGCTGCTTATGGTATGTGGCAGGGATTAGAACAAGACCTCAAGAATGTGTCAACCCAATCCGGATTCGAGCCGGGCTGCACGTTCCCCAATCCCAGCTCTGGCTTCTCTGTGGTATGCCCATAGGTGCCCATCCACCTCGTGATGAGGTCTTTGATCTAAGGCTTTATATGTACCAGCTTCAGAGCACCAGAAATGATCACATGTCACTAACAAGTGAGGCCACCACCAAAAGACCTGCGAGTGTGAAAACAGGGGCAGCCCCAGCAAACTCCGCATGTAGGGAAACCACGGAATTTGTGATCTCGAGGGGTTTTCCAATGCCCAACATGCAGATCTTATCAAAGCCACCAGGAACAACAAGCAGCAGCGAGTTGCAAGAAGGTTTCCCGTCACAACGAACCCCGTGTTGGCTCCCATCGGAGATGTAGCGGATCTTCGGTGCAGGGATTGGCTCATAAATGCAAATGAATTGCAAGGTAAGCCGGCGAACAATAATGCACCTGGTTTCAACCGTAACACCAACGTGAGAGCACGTAGAAATCCTTGGGTATTTCCAAGGTTCTCGAGCACGTCGTCTCTGCCGCGATCATAGCCTTGCCTCGGCTTGGTTTGGGATTCGAGTTTGGGGAATATTATATAGGTATCGTGGAGACTTAGATGTATACATGTGTGATTCGGTTGCATGCGGCCACTGTGCGCCCTGAAACCGAACTTTTTGAAGCCCTTGACGATGCTGGCCACACCACAAAACATCTCCACAGCATCCAGGTCCTTAGCTGCTGATGCCCGATCCCACACTATGGCTCCAAGTTCTATTTTAAGAAGTTGAATAGTTATGGCGAGTTCAAACTCTCATAGGATTGCAGCCTGCTCTCCCTGGAGCGCTTGATGCCAGCATGCTCCAGATAATTCGTCATGTAGTCGACAAGATGAATCCTTAATCGAGATATGCAGCCGTGTGTGCATAAGCATGCAAGCTACCTATCTACTCTGCATACCTGTCGGCTGCATCATGTGTACATTACACGGTCTAAGTGCTTACATAGCACACGATGGGTGGCACACCAAGGCATAGCATTGCTGCAGCTTGCAATTTGGATACCTTCAGGCTCTTGCGAGCTCTCATTTCAGAGAGCCTCATGGCGATCCGGAGGGAGTTCAGCAACCTGTACTTGTTCGGTATTAGCAACAGCTGCCACACTCTGTGGAGCTGTGTTGAAGCTACTCCTGGGTTATCTTTCAGGGCGGTTGTAGAATACATGCAGTGTGTGTGACATGCACAGAAGTCAAACCAGCTTCTCAGGCAGGACTACGGACCATGAGCCTTTCACTGCTGCAGTGCACTGTGCAGCAAAACCAGCTCTGTGCAACATGGTGAGCGGTGCACATCTGTCACAACGAAGCTTCGATAACCCCCGGTACTAGTCAGAAACACATCCCTCTCAGCAAGATCTGCATGCAGAGGCTGGGAGGACCTCGGCGATGCCCATTGGCGCTCGTTCCAGGTGACGGATTCTCAGCTGCTGCCACACCTTCGGAGGGGAAGTGGTTTTGTCATCATGGTCCATGATGAACTAGTGACACTCAGTTAACCCATCTATCCTCCACATCTCATTTTCACTTCGCGGCTGCATCCCATGACTTTGTTTTCACAGTTTGATTGCTGCACGAAGTCTTGTGGCGGCCCAGTGCGAACATGTATATCTAGACCATGGCAAGGCATAATAAGTCTGGCACTGTTCGAAATGCACCATGCAAGCCGCAAGCCAGCAGAAAATCAGCTGAAGCACTGAAAGCATCCACACCAGTTGTTACACAGCTTGCCTTGATGAACCGGGGTTACGTATACTGAATGTACCCAGACACATATATGTAGCATGTGCAGGTATAGGGAGGAATACAGCTGCAAACTTGTAGCAGCAAGTGTGCACTAAACCGGTGCAGATGCTTTGATGACTAATTTAGAATTTCTGAAGCTCAGAGCTCATGATCGTCCTCAGGCCGGAAGTGACCCCAGCCGACTGAGGCACAGGTGCCGTGCAGCCTAAATATTAGGGGTCTTGGGTGTTTAGTTAGAATGGCTTAAATACCTATAATCAATTATAAACTCTCCCAGAATAGATAATAATGTATGTTATATAGTAGTACTAGATAGCTGTCTGTAATGGGCACAGTACATATGGGATCCTATGGAGACTGCGGGACGTTTCATCTACACAGCTAGCTAGTTTTTCTTATCATTGTCAATTATGAGACATGCAGGCCGTGGCATGGGTTATATGTATACATACTCTCAATCCCCAAACTAAATCCATATATTCTACATACATATATATATATACATATCTATTTATAAGAAAGATATGTATCTCTATAATACAGAAACCTTACTAAGATCATAGACAAGGCAACGTTGGCACCCATCGGATTTCTATGAGCCTTGCAAAATGAATTGCAGAGAAAGCCCCCATGGCCAGGCTTCAACCGTGGCTCGAAGAGATCCTTGCTGGTCCCGGTCATGGGCTTACCTTGGATTTGCTGTCGAATTCTGGCTAGACAGTGTATGAGTACTGCACACTCTCTAGCTATAGCAATGCATGGTATTCCAACTGCAGTTGCTTCTTGACCCATCCAGCCATCAATCTCGCATGGTGCCACCTCGGTTGTATGCTTCCATATAATAATAATAATAATANNTATATATATATATGTTATAAACACGTGTATATATATATATATAGAACATGGACACACACGCACACACTCTCCGGACACAAAGACATAGTCATAACAATAGCGATGTTGCTACCAAGACACGCAATCGAAATAGCACCATCAAAGTGGTGCCACGGGACTGTAGCCCCACCCTTCCGATCCGTTGCAACGGGCCCTTCGACCTGCTGCAGAACCTGCCTCACATAAAACGACTCCGAGCGCAAGATGACACTGATGGCACTCGTAGAGCCCTTCTTCTCCTTCTCCCCGTTGTGGTACACGGTAAAGCTCCTGAGATACCCGTACAAATAAAAGCATAACATCTGCGCGAGTGTATACATGACGAATACCGATCTCACTGCACATTGAGGCTCTGCTTCTTCAGCTCTTCAGGGCATTGGAGGCCCGGAAGGTCTTCTTTCTTGAGGGTTTCCAAGATGCTCAGGGCTTTATCAAGCCTCTTGCTACTGGCCTTGGACTTCTTTGGGGATATGTTCTGGGGCTTGGAGTTCTTGGCGGGCTTTTTGGGGGCTGCATCCTTACCGGGGTTGCTAGCGCTCGCAGCTTCGACCTTCTTCAGCAGCTTGCTCAGGCGGCTGTTACGTTTTGGGGCTGGCTTCCTTGCCGCTTCTGCAGCCTCATCATCATCATCACCCTTTTCAAGGGCCGGACCATCAGGATGATCATCCTCAGGCAACTCCTGCTCATCCTTGCTTGCCTTGGCTGCCTTGTCGACCTTGAAACCACGCCGACCACCATCCCGCTTCCTCTTGTCGATGCGCTTGTTCTCCACCTCTGCAGCAGCCTCGTTTAGATATTAGCGTTTGCAGGCATCAGTGGTTGTAGTACTTGTCATCATGGTTTGATTCAATTAGTCACAAGCATGGGACCTCTCGGATACGAGTACGAACAACATCTTGAGCGGCTGTGACGTGGTCATAGCGCTGGTAAGCATGGCTTGCATCCATGAACTCCGGGCGGGGGACGTCTCTGAATCGTATCAAGGGTTCCCGGTCCTGATTTCGGAAGCTTCTAGTGAGCCTTCTGAGGCTTGCATGAAGAGCTGCAGAAGCAATGCAGTCTGTATATTAATCAAGGCTAGACTCTTTGGCAGCAAACGACGTGTCATGATGATCCGGCTCAGGGGCTGCCTGTGGCTGGGCTTCATCGGGGCCTTCTCCAGGCTCCGCTCGCTCGGGGACTTCGCCGATCGGTGCCTTGAGTGCTATCTAGATAATGTGGGCTTTGTTATAAACAGGATCAAGTACGGATATATACATTACTCGGAGCTGTTGCGCAAAGCACTTCTGCTGATATGCTTATGCATATATTTATATATATATTTAATTCTGGCAGCTTCTGGCTAGCACCGATCAAATATATAGCTCGTATATGTATATAATCATATATATGTATTGTACAAGTAGCATACCTATGCATCTATATATGTGTATATATGTATACATAGGTATAGTATCTTAAGTATGTATATATATAT